AATGAAACCACTACACCAGGTGTCTCCTAGAATGCAAATGATGAAGCACCATGAAACAAGGGCCGAAACTTGATTTCGTTAGTCAGACTCGGAAGTGCTAATAAGACCAGCGCAGGTGGTATCATCCGCAAACTTAACAATCAAGCAATCAGGATACGAAGCAACACAGTCGGATGTAAACAGAGAATATAAGAGAGGCGAGATAACGCAGCCCTGAGGCGTGCCAGTATTTATCTCTATAGTCTTGGAAAAGTTATTGCCGACTTTGACCTGTTGAGTACGATTAATTAAGAAATTTAAAATCCAATTACTTAGTGATTTACTAAAATGGAGAGAGTTAATAAGTTTTTCGTGAAGTTTAAAAGGCGATATCGTGTTAAAAGCAGAACTATAGTCAATAAAAAGTAACCTTGCATAGTTAGGGATTTTACGATCCAAAAAAGTAAGAACATTATGTAGAGTAATAGCAACAGCATCTTCCGTCGACCTATTCTTTCTATATGCAAATTGAAAAGGGTCTGAGGACGTCGGTAATTTTGATTTCACATGTTGCATAACAAATTTCTCAAGCAATTTCATAACAATGGAAGTTAGAGCTACAGGCCTAAAGTCATTAAGACAGGCAACAGGCGTGCGCTTTGGAACAGGTATTATCACAGATTGTTTAAATATTTTTGGCACATAGCTAGAGCGTAAAGACCAATTGTAGATGTTGCACAGTACACCAGAGAGCTCATCGGCACATAATTTCAGCAACCTAGGTGTAATCCCATCCGGACCTGCCGCTTTCTTAACTTTCAATCTAATAAGACCAAGCCGGGTGTCTTCTTCCGACAGCTGGAAGGGTGCTTCTTTATCTCGGGAACAGATGATAGGAGATATAGTATTTGGTCTGTCGAAGCGAGCGTAGAATTCATTCAACTTGTCTGGTAGGCTGGTGTCATCCGTGGGTGAGAGTTTGGTTTTAAATTTGTAGCCGGTGATTTTGTTCACTCCCTGCCAGAGCTCACTAGAATTACAGCTGGAGATGTCTGCCTCAAGTTTATCTCTATACCGCAACTTAGCGCGCTTGATGGCCCGGCGCAGGTCATATTTTGACTGCTTGATAGCGTCCAAATTGCCCAATCTGAATGCTTCCTGTCTGGCCACAAGTTGTTTACGTACTGAGGAACAAAACCAAGGTTTGTTGTTTGGATATGATGTAACAGTTTTACTCGGAATGCATAATTCCTCGCAGAATTTTATGTAGCTCATTGTCACTTCAGCACATTCATCAAGATCAGCTGAATCCCGGAGAAATAAGTCCCAGTCAGTGCATGCAAAACAGCCACGAAGTCGTTCTATTGCATCCTCACTAAACTGATGAATTACTCTTCGTACCAGTTTTTCACGCTTCAGCTGTTGTTTGTATGCTGGGACGAGATGGATCATGTTGTGGTCTGACTTATCCAATGGTGGTCGTTTCAGTGATTTATAAGCACCCCTGATCGTTGTGTAACAGTGGTCTAGTGTTTTATCTTTCCTAGTATGGCACAATACATGTTGAAAATACTTTAACTAAGGTAGTAATACAATGTTTAAGATAAGCATGTGTATCACATTTTGTAGCTAGACATATAAGTAATTGTTAAGTGATTGTCTGTATGTTAATTAGTTTTTCCTTTAAAAGGGGGGATGTCACATAGTGGTGCGTCATGCACATTGTGTAATATTATCCAATTAGAATAAAGCGCGGCTGTGTGCTGAGTTGAGTGATTATTACAACGTGTCGTCTGGTGTGCGCTCCTCCGCTCGTAACATTACAGCATATATGCTGAAAAGTGAAAAAACAGCATAACTTCTACAATAATGGCCTGATCATGCTGATTTTCGAACTTGACCTGCATTTTATGAATATTCATCAGCTCTATAAATATACAGCCAAAAAGTAAAACTGCCTTCCACTTATCGTGTTTACAATGAAAGTGCACGGCGCCAGCAACAGTGACGGCGACGACAGACGCAGGTGATGGCAATATGTACAGACACTGTACAGACACTGTACTTATTTACTGTACTGTTTGAGAACAGTAAGTGACATGGTTTTTCTTAAATGGTCATCATGGGAGCAGTGCCCAAAATAGTTTTTTTTTTTTTTAATTTTGATGCAATATTACATGATGTTTNAACAAAATTTACAGGTTACTGCCATTTTTATACGATCAACTAAGAAAATTGATGAGATGGGAAAAATATCAATACAACAGTGTTAAATGTCCAATTTCCTCCATTCTGAGATTCTGAACATAGTGAATGATTGAATCTGACAAACTGCAATGATATGAGTTTATTTCCATTTTTGACACTTTATTACACAATACACGATAACAAGTTTACCATCCTGCATTTTATGAATATTCATCAGCTCTGTAAATATAAAGCCAAAAAGTAAAACTGCCCTCCACTTATCATGTTTACAAGGAAAGTGCACGGCGCCGGCGACGACAGATGCAGGTGATGGCAATATGTGTCTGTACATAAAAAATTATTATATTCTGATAACTTGGTAAATGCTACAAGACAATTAAGCTACCAAATGTACAGACTAAATAGGTACCAGAAAAATCAAACTAGTCATCTACAATAAAATGTAAAGGAAAGGTTTGTTTAATTTTATCTCTTATGCTATACAAGACGAGACATTTTCCATTTTGTTTTGTGAGGGATGCCATGTCTATACATAAGAGAAGTATATTACAAAATAAGCACCTGTACTTTTAAGACTAAGGTTCAAGTACAAATGCTATTAAACCACTTTGAAACATTATGAACAGCTTCATATTGTGGAGGTAACCAGACGCAACAATTTAAAGTTTGAATGTTACCAACATTTGTGCAGGCCCCCGTTTCACAAAGTATCTTAAATCCGTAGTCGACTAGCTTGAGCTGGGTGGCCTAGCTAGGTCGACTTAGCTGCAGTCGACTAGGAGTGTTTCACAAAGAATCTAACGTCTTAGCTTGGCGTGCTTAACATAGTCGACGCGCACAAGAAACTCTTCAAGAAAAGGAGGTGTAAAATATCAAAAGTTTCACAGTAGTAGTTAAACATTAGCTTGTCGTGGAACACTACTGAGGGACGTCTAGCGGTCAAAAACATAAACAAACACGCGATCGGCTGGGTAAAGTGGAATTTTATTTTTTATTTTAATATTCCATAAATGTCAGTGCTATTCAAGGATATTATAACACAATATCTTGAAGGAGGTATGTTCTTTCCAGATTTTTGTTGTGAATGCTCTCATTTACCGAGTTTTAGTTGAGCTTGCCGACTTAAGTCTCCTCCCGAGGAGACTTGACATTGTCGACTTACAGCTAAGAAAAAAACGACGTAAGCGACCTTTTAGATTCTTTGTGAAACAGGACTTAGTGACGTAACGACTTAATTACGTTGGTAACCAAGCCCTAAGTCAGGGAAACCGACTTAAGTTTTTTTGTGAAACGGGGGCCAGATGTTCTAATAAACCTTTGACATTACATGACATACGTATTGATTATTGATACATTTCATCAATTTACTCTATGTAGCACACTGGTGAAGATCAATGCATTGAATAAACACTGACTGAAAACTTGAATGATCCCTTGAAATCCCCATCCCTAATACAGAATATTCCTTTCTGAGAGAGAAAACAAATTTCTGCTAACTTCAAAGCAATACGGTAAAGTGCCATGAATTTCGAACGGCTCTTGAATTTCGAACGATCTTAAAATCGGCCGTCTGGAGTTTTTTCTGGACCATGAATTTCGGCCAGTAAGCAATTTTGCGCGATCTTGATTTCGTGAATTTCGTACACCTTAAAATCGGCCACCGGGCTGTTCTCGCGCTTATAAAGATCTAACAGTCGGCAATGTTGCCCTAGCGTACCTTTACCTCAGTACTACGTGTGCGGCCCAAGGTGCAATATAACGATCAGTACAGTTAGTTTAGGACGCTAAACAACATCGTCATATCCATTCATTCAGATACCAGGAGAATCTATTAAGAGTTCTACTGTCGGGCTGTTGTTTCTTTACCGCAGTATTTGGTGTGAGATAGCGATCGGTAGTTTTGCTGAGGCGCACAATAGCATTGTTGACAGTAGAGACTTCAGTAACAGAACAAAAGAGCAATATTAAGAGATGCAATAAAGATTACCATTATTGCTTTCTTGTCTCGCTCAGATCGTTCACGATCTCCCGCTGACGATCTACCGCTAATGAAGTCCCTTGAAATGTACAAATGAAATGAAAAATATTTTTAAAAATTATAAATTCCAATGGGGAGGGACGGAGGGTTAAAAACAATCGAGAACGATCTCCGGCTGACGATCTGCCGCAAACGAAAGCAACTGAACGAGTATGAGCTTTCTCGTTTCACTCGGATTGAGACGTTGACGATACGAAAATTGCGTTCTCGTCTCGCCCTTTGGCTTACGAAGTCTCTTTAACAAATATGAAAATTGCCTCCTGGTCTCTCTCGGATTGCGAACGATCTCTCGCTGAAAATTTGAAATTTTCCTTTTTTGTCAATCAGCTTTGTCAGTTGCCGTGCGTATGAAGGTCCGGAAGGTGTCCCCTTTCAGAAATTGGCCTGTAGTTTGCTTAGTGTTTTGTACCGCATGAAGGTCACTCTAGTCACTGCTGCATACGGCGTGGAATGTGTATCTTAAAGTTCATAGAAACATTTTATTGTGTTTTGTAAGCTTAAGGAAGTAGTTTCGTCGTGACTGAATATCAGCGTACACTACAAAGTAGTACCATTCATCTATGACGCATCATAAAAGCTAGGTACGTCAAATTACTCTAAGAAAATTTCTTACAATNCTGTCAGTGTCTTTCCTTCGTGATAAAGTGACCCTATTCAGAAGCTCTATTAATACAAACCTGCCTTTTGTTTCTCAGTGTTATGAGATAATGTACTTTTCTTGTGTAAATATTTCATATTACACTGCTGGAGTCGTGTAAGAAGGTGTTGTTTATAATACCAGGTTAATCCTGCGGTGCAGACAGGAGGCCAGGGCCAGGTTTGCCAAAATGAGGTCAGATGTGCTGGTCAAGATAGAGCTGCTGGATCAGAAACACGGTGAGGGTGTGGACTTTATTAAGGAGAATTTTTTTTATGAGATCTGAATATGTTATCTAATGGCAGCATCACAAAAAAACCCTATAAAATGTTACTTATATATTTCTTGGTATTTGAACATAAGTTACTAGCATTGAAGGTTGTAAATTGTCTAATAGGTTGTGATTGTAGGTATTTTTGGAACTTCTTGTGACTTACCAGAAAATATTTCTTTTATTGCAGTTCAAGACATAGTCTTTCAGCTCCAACGTTTAGTCACAGCCATGTCCAAGTATCACAATGACTGTCAAGTTGTATTAAAAGAAGCGGATGTGTTCCCAATAGAAGTGGACTTGGCCAGAAGTACTTTCACATATGACACTAGTAACCAGTTTAATGATAATGAGGAGGATGAAGAGGAGGAAGAAGAAGGCACAGATACAGCTAGAAATCAAACGGGGGCTTTCAGTGGAGATCTCATCAGTACTGATTAGATAGGGTCTTCTTCAAAAGATGTACATGTATAGGATAAAAGTTGGTTTTCTGTTTTTCTTTGTTTTTTCATAGTATACCCAGAGCTTTATTTCATTTAATGCATTAATTTCAGAAGTGGCATTTGATCAGTTTTGACTGAATATCAATTACTGAATCTTTTAAACTAAAGTTTTCTTTAGAAAGAAAACTAAATTATGTTATTGAATATTTAAGCTACGGGTTGTTATGAACTTCTTGTAATGTCTTTATTTTCTATTTTTTCTCTTTTATGAAGTCGTAGACTAAGATGTGTTTGTATTTTGTTTTTCAAAAAACACAAGGTGAAGGTATTTTTTTCATTCTTAGCCTTATTAAGAATGTAACTCATTCCATTGTTTGCTAAACAACATTTAAGATTATAGAAGCTGGTAGCCACATCAAAACATTGGCATTTCTAAGTGAAACATATTTTAATATGTAAATAGATATGTAAGAAAGTTTGGAATAACCCATTTCTTGGCAGACCAAATTTATCGTTACTTGTTTCTACTATCAACTTTGATTATAGCTTTCCTTCAAGGACTGTTTCATTTACTGCCTTAGTTTAGTAAGAATTATTATCTTAGACCCCGCTGCTACTTGTATTGAGGCTACTTTCTGAAAAGTCCTGAAACTTGTGAATATTGTGCAAGTTGTATAATTAAGAAAATACAGCCCGTGTGCTACAGTATTTTCTATTTTTTTCTGGGGATGAATTGTTCTTTTCTTTGATTTTTCTTTTTTGAAGTCTCAGTTCGGTTGTGGCATTTTGTTAGGAAGATGAACTTTGCATTTTTTTGTCTTTCCATTGTAATGATCATATTAAGTTCTATTATAAACACAAAGTTTTAATGATCGCTAATGAATAAGAATTAATCTTGTTGGTGCTGCAAAATACATTCCATTTAAGTTTTAAATGCAACTTACTGGCATTTATGGCACGGCTGAAATCCATGATTGCTGGCTTTTTTTAATTAGATAATTATATAGACAGTCTTTAATACTAACAAGAAATGCATGTTCAGAGATGCATCATCTAGACAGAAGTATTTTTCCCAATTATTCAGGCACAAGGCCTTGTGCATTTTTGTACCACTTTACATGTTAGTAAAATTTCAACTTGTGCTGTAAAAACTAGCCATACATATGTTGTAATAGTGCAATATTTATTGAAGGAAGTCAACTTCCATTTAAGTCATTTGAATAAATACTTTGAGTGATTGGTATCCATAATATGTGGTTTTGTTCTTACAAGAAAGGAAGGAAACAAAGATGGAATTAATATCGCAAAATGATGAATAATGAGCACTTTTTATGTACAGACACAGATGTGTCTGTACATATAGCCATCACCTGCGTCTGTTGTCGTCGCCGTGCACTTTGACCACCGATAACATGATAAGTGAAAAACCGTTTTACCTTTTGGCTTGAAACTTACAGAACTGATGAGCTTTCATAATATGCAGGTAAAGTTCGAAAATCAGCATGATATGGCCATCTATATGGAAGTTATGCTGTTTTTTATGTACAGACACAGATGTGTCTGTAAATATAGCCATCATCTGCGTCTGTCGTCGCCGTCGCCGTGCACTTTTACCGATAACACGATAAGTGGAAAACCATTTTACCTTTTGACTTGAAACTTACAGAACTGATGAATATTCATAATACGCAGGTCAAGTTCGAAAATCAGCATGATCGGGTCACTTTTAGGGAATTTATGCTGTTTTTTCACTTTTTTCAGCATATATGCAGCACCGATAACACGATAAGTGGAAAACCATTTTACCTTTTGACTTGAAACTTACAGAACTGATGAATATTCATAATACGCAGGTCAAGTTCGAAAATCAGCATGATCGGGTCACTTTTAGGGAATTTATGCTGTTTTTTCACTTTTTTCAGCATATATGCAGCACCGATAACACGATAAGTGGAAAACCATTTTACCTTTTGACTTGAAACTTACAGAACTGATGAATATTCATAATACGCAGGTCAAGTTCGAAAATCAGCATGATCGGGTCACTTTTAGGGAATTTATGCTGTTTTTTCACTTTTTTCAGCATATATGCAGCACCGATAACACGATAAGTGGAAAACCATTTTACCTTTTGACTTGAAACTTACAGAACTGATGAATATTCATAATACGCAGGTCAAGTTCGAAAATCAGCATGATCGGGTCACTTTTAGGGAATTTATGCTGTTTTTTCACTTTTTTCAGCATATATGCAGCACCGATAACACGATAAGTGGAAAACCATTTTACCTTTTGACTTGAAACTTACAGAACTGATGAATATTCATAATACGCAGGTCAAGTTCGAAAATCAGCATGATCGGGTCACTTTTAGGGAATTTATGCTGTTTTTTCACTTTTTTCAGCATATATGCAGCACCGATAACACGATAAGTGGAAAACCATTTTACCTTTTGACTTGAAACTTACAGAACTGATGAATATTCATAATACGCAGGTCAAGTTCGAAAATCAGCATGATCGGGTCACTTTTAGGGAATTTATGCTGTTTTTTCACTTTTTTCAGCATATATGCAGCACCGATAACACGATAAGTGGAAAACCATTTTACCTTTTGACTTGAAACTTACAGAACTGATGAATATTCATAATACGCAGGTCAAGTTCGAAAATCAGCATGATCGGGTCACTTTTAGGGAATTTATGCTGTTTTTTCACTTTTTTCAGCATATATGCAGCACCGATAACACGATAAGTGGAAAACCATTTTACCTTTTGACTTGAAACTTACAGAACTGATGAATATTCATAATACGCAGGTCAAGTTCGAAAATCAGCATGATCGGGTCACTTTTAGGGAATTTATGCTGTTTTTTCACTTTTTTCAGCATATATGCAGCACCGATAACACGATAAGTGGAAAACCATTTTACCTTTTGACTTGAAACTTACAGAACTGATGAATATTCATAATACGCAGGTCAAGTTCGAAAATCAGCATGATCGGGTCACTTTTAGGGAATTTATGCTGTTTTTTCACTTTTTTCAGCATATATGCAGCACCGATAACACGATAAGTGGAAAACCATTTTACCTTTTGACTTGAAACTTACAGAACTGATGAATATTCATAATACGCAGGTCAAGTTCGAAAATCAGCATGATCGGGTCACTTTTAGGGAATTTATGCTGTTTTTTCACTTTTTTCAGCATATATGCAGCACCGATAACACGATAAGTGGAAAACCATTTTACCTTTTGACTTGAAACTTACAGAACTGATGAATATTCATAATACGCAGGTCAAGTTCGAAAATCAGCATGATCGGGTCACTTTTAGGGAATTTATGCTGTTTTTTCACTTTTTTCAGCATATATGCAGCACCGATAACACGATAAGTGGAAAACCATTTTACCTTTTGACTTGAAACTTACAGAACTGATGAATATTCATAATACGCAGGTCAAGTTCGAAAATCAGCATGATCGGGTCACTTTTAGGGAATTTATGCTGTTTTTTCACTTTTTTCAGCATATATGCAGCACCGATAACACGATAAGTGGAAAACCATTTTACCTTTTGACTTGAAACTTACAGAACTGATGAATATTCATAATACGCAGGTCAAGTTCGAAAATCAGCATGATCGGGTCACTTTTAGGGAATTTATGCTGTTTTTTCACTTTTTTCAGCATATATGCAGCACCGATAACACGATAAGTGGAAAACCATTTTACCTTTTGACTTGAAACTTACAGAACTGATGAATATTCATAATACGCAGGTCAAGTTCGAAAATCAGCATGATCGGGTCACTTTTAGGGAATTTATGCTGTTTTTTCACTTTTTTCAGCATATATGCAGCACCGATAACACGATAAGTGGAAAACCATTTTACCTTTTGGCTTGAAACTTACAGAACTGATGAATATTCATAATACGCAGGTCAAGTTCGAAAATCAGCGTGATTGGGTCATTTTTAGTGAATTTAGGCTATTTTTTCTCTTTTTTCAGCATATATATACAGCACCGATAACACGATAACTGGAAAACCGTTTTGGCTTTTGGCTTGAAACTTAGAGAACTGATAAATATTTATAATACGCAGGTCAAGTTCGAAAATCAGCATGATCGGGTGACTTGTAGGGAAGTTATGCTTTTTTTTTTTTACTTTTTTCAGCATATATGCAGCACCGATAACACGATAAGTGGAAAACAGCTTTACTTTTTGGCTTCAAACTTACAAAACTGATGAAGATTCATAATCCGCAGATCAAGTTCAAAAATCAGCATGATCAAGCCATTTTTAGGGGAGTTATGCTATTTTTTCACTTTTTTCAACATATATGCAACACTGATAACACTATATAAGAAAAACAGATAGGCCAATTGTCATTATACTTACAGGAGTGGTCAATCTTACTAAAATGCAGGTTGAGTTGGAAAATCAGCATAATCTGGCCATTATTTTAGAAGTTATGCTGTTTTTTCACATTTCCTCAGATTCAATTCTTAAGCATGTTAACAGTCTCATTATTTAACTAATAAGATACGTAAAAGTGTTTGTTTGATATTTCCTGCATCTTTACAACATTGTTAGTTGATTATGTAAAAATGATGGTAAACTTGATATCGTGTATTGTGTAATAAAGTGTCAAAAATGGAAATAAACTCATATCATATCATATTGCAGTTTGTTAGATTCAATCATCAACTATGTTCAGAATCTCAGAATGGAGGAAATTGGACATTTAACACTGTTCTATTGATATTTTTCCCATCTCATCAATTTTCTTAGTTGGTCATATAAAAATGGAAGTATACTGTTTATTTTGTTTTGTTTAAAAAGTGTTAAAATGGAAATAAACCCATTTCAGAACAGTGCTGTCTTTTTTACAGTTTGGCATTTTTAAGATGTGACTTTGAAGTTCCATGAGCCTGCAGATCTTTGCTAGTCACATTTTCTGAATATCCATGATACTAATATTTTATGATTAAAAATTGATGGTCATTATGCTGTAAAACATTATGTAATATTGCATCAAAATTTGAAGAAACCCCTATTTTGGGCACTGCTCCCATGATGACCATTTAAGGAAAGTCATGTCACTTACTGTTCTCAAACTTACAGGAAAGAAACATGGGACTAAAATACAGCTTCAGTAGGCAATGCAGTCTGTTTGGTAAATTTTTCTGGTAGTTAAGCAGTTTTTTTGTGAAAATTTAATTTTTCACATATTGGCATTTTCAATGTATGACTTTGAAGTTCCATGATCCTGAAGACCTTTGCTTGTCACATTTTCTGAATATGCGTTATACTAATATTTTATAATTAAAAATTGATGGTCATTATGCTGTTAAACATTATGTAATGTTGCATCAAAATTTGAAGAAACCCCTGTTTTGGGCACTGCTCCCATGATGACCATTTAAGGAAAATCGTGTCAATTACTGTTCTCAAACTTACAGGAAAGAAACATGGGTCTAAAATACAGCTTCAGTAGGCAATGCAGTCTGTTTGGTAAATTTTTCTGGCAATTAAACAGTTTTTTGTGAAAATGTAATTTTTCACATATTGGCATTTCCAAGGTGTGACTTAGAACCTCCACGGGCTTGAAGACCCATGCTAGTCACATTTTCTGAAAATTCATGACACTTATATTTTATTATTAAAAATCGATGGTCATTATGCCGTTAAGCATTATGTAATGTTGCATCAAAATAGAAGAAAACACAATTTTGGGTGCTGCTGCCTTGATGACCATTATGGGAAAACTGTGTTACTTATGACTGTCAAACTTTCAAAAAAGAAACACAGGACTAAAATGCAGCCTGAGTTGGAAAAGCAGTCTAATTGGCTTCTTTTTCTGGAAGCTATACATTTTAGTGTAATATTCATTATCTTTTTGGCATATTCATTGTGGGACTCAGAGCTCCCATGAACATGAAGCCGAATGGTAATCATATTTTCTACATGTCCATCCTATTTATAGTCAATAAACAAAAATTGGTGATAATTATTCTCTAATTTATTATGTAATGTTACATCAAAATTGACAACAATCTTTTTGCACTGCTACTGCAAACATTATGAAAAGAAAACTGTGCTACTTATTATCATTTTTAACTTACAAGTACGATTTTTAGGATTGGCCTTCAGCTCATATGAGAAAACCAGCTCTATTGGATTATCATTTTTATTGAATTTATGCATTTTTTGTGAAATTTTCATTTTTCTCATTCTGGCACTTTCTAAGTATAAACTTGAACTCCGATGGGCCTGAAGCCTTATGCTTTTAATTTCGTCTGTGTTACCTGTTGTGCATAAGTTGATGTTGACTGTGCAGTTAAACATAATGTATTATTGCATCAGGATTGGTAGTCTCCTATTTTGGGCATTATGGTTTTGTGCTTTTCTTAAAGTGTGACTTATGGGCCTAAAGACCTTTGAGTGGGTCAGTCTGTAAATTACCCTTGGGTATCACTAGATTAATTTCAGAGTTATAAAGTCATTTGCCTTAATAGGCCATTAAATGAGATTACATAAAGCACACTTGTTGATATTTCCCTGTAAACTCCCAAAGGTAAAGCTCTCTGCTAGATTAATAATAAGGAAGCAGTGATAATTATGCAGGTAAATTTTGTTTAATATTGCAAATAAGTTTTAAATAATATATATATATATATTAATATATATATATATATATATATATCAAACTGGAAGATTAAAAGTTTGAATAGCATCTTCATTGGAATTATATTTACCTCAAGCTCTGCCAAGGAGGTCATATTTTCACCCCCGTTTGTCTGTCATCCACATAACACAAAAAGTTATGGACTGATTTTGCAGAAATTTTCAGGAACTGTCGGAAGTGGGCCAAAGAGGACAATGATTAATTTTTGGTGGTGGTCTGGAACAATAATCAATCAATTATCAATAATAATCAACAATTGCTGCCTTGGCAGAGGTCTGCACTCTCAAAGTGCTTTTCTAGCTTTGTTATGTTTTCCTTTATAATTTTTTCTCAAACACTTGCATTTGTGACTTTTAACTCTCATCTGCCTGGGGCTCTGCACATTTTCTGTATTTCCACATAAGCAGTTGTATTGTTTTTTATGTCTTTAAACATTATGTAATATTATTTTATGCACTGTCATCATTTTTCAAATATTGAGAGTTTCATAATGTGAATTTGAACTCTCATGGTCCTGAAACTGTAATTTTATTGAAGGGGTGGACCATCTTCTGGGTCTTCCTGAAAACAGTCAGTTTATTAAGTTTATATTGACTGTTATCTATTTTTTTCTGTTGGAAGACCATCAAAATGGAGAATGGATCAACATAGATACTTTGTAATACTGTCAGAAAATATCTCTGGGTCCGCTCCTGTTATTGACCATGTTACCTGTTGTGCAAGATTAAAATCCAGTGTTGACTGACAGTGCTATTATAAGCATTATTTATTATTGCATCAAAATTGACAAAATGACCTTTTTTGCATCTTTATTTTCTGTTTTTTGTCTGTACATTTGACAGCTTTGCTGCCTTGTTTTTTCTTTCACACGCAACCAGAAGTCATACAGGTACATGCATGCTTTGTTAAACTCTTTCTTTTTTTTTTAAACCTGAGTTTAGAGCAAACACAACTGGATCATGAAATAACACACTGGATTATTTTTTGTGGTCTGTTCTATTCGCTTAAGTGAAGTCGGCTTCAAAAATAATCAGTCAACATAATCTACGAAGGAAAAAAATCTATCTTTAAAGGAAAAAACATGCACTGCATATACAGCTGTATTGCCAGACAGCAGGAACTGGTCAGGAGATTTTATGCATAAAATAATATCAATGAAAAAATGCTTAATGTAAAAAAAGAGCCCCCAAGAACAGTCCAACCCCAAGGAGCGCTAAATTTTGTGAAATGCACAACTGTGTTGATATATGTCTGCCAGTACCTTAAGTTTGAACTACCTCATTTTATTGATCTAGGAGGAGTTAGATGAAAGTACAATGTGGAAAGAATTAACAATCAACCACCCCCGGGACAGCCTAACCCTCAGTTGGACTAAAATTCTGAGGTGCCCATGTACATCATTGATCTTAGGTCCATCAAGTCCCAGAATTTGAACTTCCTCACTCTAGTGGTCTAGTAGGAGTCAGGAGAAGTTGCGATGTGAAAAGAACTAAGAAATAACCATCCCATGAACAACCCAACCCTTTCGAACAGTAAAATTCTGAAGTGCCCATGTTGATATAGGTCTATAAATCCCCAAAGTGTCAACTTTCTAACTCTAATGGTCTAGGAATTAGCAGAAATTACAATTTATGTTAAAAGTATGAAGAGTCAAGCACCCACCAGGACAGCCCAACCTCCTGTTGCACTACAATTCTGAAGTACCCATGCACATTTCTAATGATATGTCTATCAATCCCCAAAGTTTCAACTTCCTAACTAGCCCTTATAGTCTTGGAGGAAAAGGCAGAAGTTACTTATACACTACTCATGGTCAGGCAGGATAACATGGTCCCCGGAAAAATGAACTTTCATGTGGCATCCCACTGTTCAAGAATATGATGAGTACATAAACGTAGCAGATCTAAGTCTGACTAATCCTGACTAAGTCTGACTAAGCCTGATCTAAGTCTGTTTGTTGACTTAGGCTTCATTCACATGCAATGTCTATTTTCTAAATTCTTTTTTCTATTCGCGGTATGTCTTATGATCACGGTCTGTGCCCTGAATATCCCGCGGCGTAATTACTGGCAATATGATCATAAGATAGCGCGAATAGAAAATAGATTTTTAGAAAATAGACATTCCATGTGAACGAAGCCTTAAACAAACTTCAATGTGTTCGATACATGTTGGCATCTAAACATCTAAGTCAACCGAAATTTTTAGTAATCTTTGCAACTTCCTGCATTGTACTTTAGCAAGGCATGTAGTGTCCAAGCTCAGTTAGGCAATATTTTTGGTAAATTTCTCCAAATCTTCATTAACAATTCAATATTGACTAAGGTATCCACATATTTTATTTTCTGGTTAACCAGTGCATGCATTTCTAGACCACAAAAATAGGAAAAAATAAGCATTTTCTCTGAAAAATAGAAAAAAAAAGGAACATCTCAAAAAAAAAAAAAAATTGAAAAAAGATAGGAACTTGAAGCCCTGAGACATTCATTGTGAATGATAGATATCGTTGATTGATTTTGACCCAATTTTGCATAAGTCTGAATTTAAAATAGTATTACTGCATCAAAATTGGCCAAATAAACTATTTTGTGCATCATTATTTTCTGCTTTTGTCTGTATGTTTGACAGCTTTTCCCTTGTTTCCAGTTTATTACTTGGTTACCAGTTTACCCCTAATGCACTTTGTGCCCCTGTGACACAGAGCGACCTTTGGCTGCCATTACTTGGAGAAAACCAGAACCCACCAGATTCCTGGACATTGAATTTCAAAGCTGGTAAGTAAACAAAAAATATGCATGGATTCTGTTTTGAAATTATTTATTGTTTTTGTGAGGAAAAATAGGATTGGTGTCTTTCTTTTTCAGCTTAAACAACAACAGTTCCTGTTTAAAAAACAGTTTTGATTTTTATATTTTAGCAGGCCAGTTACATACCAAACATTGTGGACTTAAAAATAGCTTTTGATATCCTAAAATTTCAAATGTATCATTTAAAGGCAGGGCCACAACATAATGTTTGTGAAAATATATCCATTTATATCTTAATATTCTAGGAGGTCAGACATACAATATAGAAGTCAAGGCCACCAAGACTGTCATGTTATACCAAGGGGAGGACTGGGGAAATGTGATTTTTGAGAAACTAGTGGAGTTCACTGTGAATGGAAAGAAAGGCTGGGGCATTGCAGAGTATTGCTATAGGTTAGTTCAGGAATTAAATGATACTGGTTAATGTATAGAACTTTTTATAGCATTGGGTTTTCTGACAAGTTGTTTAGAATTAGGTTTGTGTTGAACAAGATGGTTTGTGATGAACTCAAGGTGGTCTGTTAATTGAGCTAAAATTCCAATTGATATGTGGTAATTATTTTGGAAAAAAATGAAAAAAATTTAAATTAAAAAAAAAATCTGATTTCAAGAGCTTAACTGATTTGTATATATGACGTAACTATTTCTTATTATTATTCTGGGCACAAAACTATCTTGTCCCCTCTCAGACAGCTATAACTACCTGTCCCCACACTAAGAAAACCCACTTGTGTCTATAAAATTTTATTCTTTGCTTTATTTATAGGAACAAGGATATCTCGCCTCATGACAATCACACAAAGAGAACCCACTTCTGCGAATAACATTATATTCTTTGCTTTAATTCCAGAAGCAAAGATATCTTACCACCTTCAAGATAGGCACCTGTTGCCACACAAAGAAAACCCACTTTTGTATATAAAATTTTATTCTTTGCTTTATTTCCATGAGCAAGGATATCTCCCCTCCAGTCAATCAAGCACCTGTTCCCAAACCAAGAGAACCCACTTCTGTATATAACATAATTTTTTTTTTTGCTTTAATCTCAGGTGCAAGGATATCTCACCACCTACAAGACAGTCACATGTTCCCACACTAATAGAACCTATCTCTGTGCCAGAGTTTGACAACAGGGCCCTGGTGCTGCCTTTCACAAAAGAGGCTTGCAAGAGTTCAGAGCTGGTTGGAGGCAAGGGGTGCCAGCTGGCCATGCTGTGTACAATAAAGGATAAGGTAAGGTAGCCTATTTTTTAGGTGCAGTTTTGGCCAGTTGCTGCCATCTCTTTGTAGCATTCAACCAATGATACCTATAGGCTGTATTTTTTCTGTATAAGTGTACATTTATCCAAGCTTGAAGTCAATTTGGAAATTAGTATTTTTCATGGTAATACGATTATCTGGCAAGAAAATTTGACAGTCACCGAGAGGTCCCTTAAGAACTGTCTTTATACACGTTTATTTTCCCATTTTAGACAACGTACATATTTTTTTATAATCAGGTGTTATTTAGTAACTAATGATATATGCATAGCCTATTAGTTCAGTAATAGTGCAGTTTCAGAATTTTTGAAGGCCAATTTTCCTATTTAAAAAATTCTTGTACTTTGAATAACTGTACCAAAATATTTTTATAAAGATAACGTAAATCAATATTTAAAGGTACTTACTACTTATTTAATCATTCAGCATTTTACAGGTCCTGTATATTTCACTGTATTTACTGGCCATGAAAACTATCTGCCAACAGTATGCTTTCCTTTACTTTAGTTCATAGTGCCCAGAGGGCTGTGTGTGACTGTCAGAGCTCTACAAAAACAGTTGGAGTCAAGCACAGTTATTGTGGATATGTGGGCAGAGTTGGAAGACATTTGCAGGTAGTTTTTGCCCATAAAGTCCTTATGCTTAGATGTTTTTTTTAAATTAAAATCTTTACTTGTTTTCATCTGATTCTAAACTGAAAATGAATTTTTACGTTGTGGAAACCTGATAATAATAATAATAATAATAATAATAATAATAAAATAAAGCTCTTTAAAAACTATCAGCTCCTTGTAAATCTCAGTGCTGTGTACAATATAATACATGCTATCTAAAATAATAGCTTCTTTTCATTTAAGTGGGAAAATCAAAGGTAATATTCAGGAGTGCTGTAAGAGGCTGGTGGATTCATTCACTGCTGCCCCTCTCTGTATGGAGGTCCAGGGCAGCCTGGTGGAGACCTTGGTCAAAGAGTTTGGAACTCAGCATGAAGAAATACTGTTTGCTGTGAGATCATCTGCTGTAGGTACGTCACAGGTTCTAAAGAGTCTGTCTGTAGATAAAGTCAATATTCTTTGTTAAGTACACATAAATAAAAAAAAATGTTAGTTCTCCTCCCTGTATATATGTACACATGCGTGTGTGAGCATGCACACACATACACACACACACACACACACACACACACACACACACACTTGTGTGCATTATATATTAAAATCTGATAGTGAATTCTACACCTCTACCTGGCCAACAAATTAAGATCTGTCACAGAATAAGATATTTATGTGCACTGGATCTGCTTCAGGTGAAGACAGTGATGAGATGTCTGCTGCTGGACAAATGGAAACATTTCTAGGAATAAAAGGAATTCACAAGGTATGGTCTGGCTATGTACTCGTGGTAGGGGAACCTTCATTGTAAAAATTTACCCGCTTTATTAATGTTATTTTGTTTAATTAAAAAAATCTTCCTATGTTTTTGTTGAAAACAATTTTTATGGTATGTTTTTTATATAAAAAATATTGTCTTTTGATTTTACAATGGTATTTAGAAAAATTAATTTGAACTTGATGAAAACGACCCTGTGAGATAAAATAAGTATATTTGATGCAACTCTATTCAAATGTGAAATTTCAGGTATTTGAAGCAGTGATGAAGTGTTGGGCTTCTCAGTGTACCTACCAAGCAGTGGAATACAGAAGGTAGTTTAGAACTTTAAGTGACAATGCAGTTAAGGCCTGCTCAGTTGAAACACTCCTGTACTTTGGATTTTGAATGTTCTTAACTGAAATATTTTTTTAATTTATATATTTCTCATTGTGATCAGTGTAATTTACACTCTTAGCTGAGAGCTTCATTTGATGAATTAATGTCTTTATTTAAAATATTTGCTTTGCATATAGTGAACAATGTGCTCAAAATTTCCCAAATCTGACTTAAATACTGGCACCTTTAGTTTGATGTAAAATTTGCCAATCATATTTTGATCTCACATAGACAGCATGGCCAGCCAATCAAATCCCTCATGGGTGTGGTTATCCAGGAGATGGTCCAATCAGAGGCCTCTGGGGTGTTGTTCACCCAGGATCCACTGACAGCCAATCCTGGTGTGATTACCATCAATGCAAACTATGGTCTGGGTGAGGTAGGTATATGGTGTCTTCTGACAGTCTTAGGGAGGATTCAGAACAAGTTGATCCACGGACTAACAGATCTGAGGATCAAATATGGCACAACCCACTTGAAAGCATGCCAAGGTTTTAATTGCTCTGCTGTGGCTGGGACAGTGCACATGGGAGGCAGGAATCCATTGTCAAGTGCGTGCCATATTTCATATGCAGACTAGTTAGTCCACGGATCAACTTTGTTGTGAATGCTGTCTTAGGAAATGTCCTCATAATATTTCTGTTCTTTTACATACATGTGCAACAAAAATATGCATGACATTGATGCGCAGTGTAGCATATAAAGGACATTACCTAAAGGTTTATAATTACAAAGTATTTAAAATGTTTGTGTAATTTAGGTGTTCAAATGTACATCATCTGGATTTCTGATATTACTGCAATGATTTTTTTTCGTTTCAGTCGGTGGTGTCGGGGATCGCAGAGCCTGATACTATTACTGTCAGCAGAAGTTGGGATGATAAATTGAGCATTAAAGACAAGACGATAGGCAGCAAGAAGTCTGTTATGTCAGTTGCAGGTAAATAAAACAATTTCCATGTGATGAAAATTGAAGTAAATAGTCTCACCCTAAGTTTTTCATTGTTGAAGATGTTTAATATTCACATAGCAAATTGGATAAAAGTCAGCGTGCCAATAATAATATAGATTAAAATATTCATAAAGATAGGCAGGAAAATTTTTGTCTCTTTCCATGTTGCAGCATTCGTTTCTTTATCAAGGTAGCTGTTATACACTGTAGGTGATTAATTTCACATTTTATCATACATTTTAATAAGAATAATGCAATAACGAAACTATGCAATGGTCATTCTGCTAGCTGACTCTTAAAATGGTAACTGTTCCATTTCGATAATTAATCTACGTTTTTCTGTTTATAACTTTCCAACATAATTTGTACACTAGGCTCAGGAGGGACTCAGACTACAGAAGTGGAGCTGGCAGCAGCAAAGCAATGTTGTCTTCCTGATGATGTCATCTTAGAGCTGGCAAGGATAGGCATTATGGTAAGTAATCTGGCTGGCTTTTGCATGGGCCAAAGTTTTCAGGATTATGCCTATATGTGATAAGAAAGTGCAAGCTGTTTGTTGATTCTTTCCAATTAAATGGCACCACAATTGAAACACTCAATTAATTGAATTCACCGGCTCATAATAATTAACAGAATTAATATCAGAATGCACAGTTTTACCAGATAAATAACAATTCAATCAAATGTCAAATCTAAACTCAACACTACATTTTCAGGATTTTCAGTCTTCATAACTTTCACCCATGCATATGTAGGGGCACCTGTCCTTGAAAATATGGGCTGCAAAGATATTATGAAGAACATGAAGAAAAATTGTCTGTTCCAAACACAATAATAGCTTGGCCACGAAAGAGCATAATTGTTAAGCACAGTCTTTTGTATTTGAGATATCTGAATTCTTGGAAAACTGTTCTACATTTTAATTTTAGTGAATCAAACATGCATATGTTTACATAGTGTGTGTTTATAGTAGGTTTGAATTTTTAAGGTGTCTGTTATCCAATGCATTCTCTAGTGGGAATTATGAATTATGAAAAAAAAATACAATGCAATATCATAAACCTGTTGAATTTTGTGACAGATATCATAAGGACCAATTTTTTTTTTCAGATTGAGCAATATTTTGGAGATGCAAGAGACATAGAATGGGCTGTTTGTAATGGGCAGGTTTATTTGTTACAGGTAGGGGAATAATTTTCATAATGCCACAGTATCCTGAAAGTCTAAGTAGCTTTTTCAATCCTGACAAAAATGTTTGTAAATTGGACAGCAGCTACAAATGTTGACAACATGTTCTTTGATAATCTATGACTCAGAGAAATTACCATATACACTCCAGATGACTTGATAATTTTCCAAGAGTGCTCTGACAAACACTGAACATTGAAGATTAGGTGTACATTTATTACTGTACATTTGATTAAGGTTCAAAGTTTTTCAATAATGCTGACTATATCAAAAATGTGATGAACATTTGAAAACTATCCATGATTTCACATTTCTTAGATAAGCAGTTTATCAATTTCATCGAATTTAATCATGTATAAAGGTAGGAGATTAAAACATTGACGAATATGTTAGTCAGATGTTTTTCAACAGGATAATGTACTGTAGTGAGCAATCCCTAAAACCCATCGTACTAGCTGGAGCAACCTAACTATGTGGGGATTCTCGCTTAGTGCATTCAGTGAAAGCAGCTTAAATGTCTGGCATGCCTACCCAAGCTAATAGGGGGTAATTAAGGATAGTCAATTACCACCCCTCCCCCAGTTACTCAAGGGGGTGTGCCAGACAATTAAGCTGATTACACTAAAAAACACTTTGGCAAGAAGCCCCGCAGAGTTAGATCCATCCAGCTATAGTAGGATGTGTTTATGGGAACGCAGTCGTAAATTCCTCCACACATTTGTCAGGCTCGTCCTATAACGTCCTTTGGCTTGGAGACAGAAGAGGAGCTGATGCACGAGTTTGATGCCCCTTTGTCCTATGATCGGGAATGGTGGACCACCTGTAATATTGGGTAAGGATACAAAAATATTTTCATTGAAATTAAAATTTGATGAAACTGCAAGGAGAGGAATCATACTTTCAGTTTTAAATTAATTTGAGTAATGTGATGTAAAATGAATATTTTATGACTAATTGAAATGAAATATAACAATTGTCTTAATTAATGTGACCAGAAAAAGTAACACCCATACAGTACATAAATTAGTAAAATCTGATTTTATTTATGCATAGAATGGCATTATTGATATATCAGTGCCAATAGTAAAGTTTAACATACTTTCTTGTGCAGAGTTGAACTTGAGTTCGAGTAAGACCTTATGGAGAAATTACGGACTGTTATTAGTAAAAGGTGTCCTTGTGATCCTTTGTGTGATAGATCTCCTTTACTGCTACTAACTGGTCAGCTTACATATCTACCCCTGGTCACCCCGTGTCATCCGACTATGTACAAGCACATGCCAATGAAAACATTATATTTTATATAATATATAATATTTTTATTATTATATAAATAATCCAGAGAGATGATGCCAGGGGCCCTCACTCCACTCAGTATGAGTACTTTCCTGCGTGCTGTGGACCTGGGGCTTCAGGTGAGTATGTGCTTGCATGCATGCATGCGTGCGTGTGTGTTTGCCACATTAAATTGTATGGTCATGCATGTGTCTTTGCCTGGTCATTCATGAATTTAATATAAAGTGTATGTGCTTATATGTTTTTTTTTTAATTGGGAGGGGGATGCAAAAGTTTATGTGCATGTGTTTGTAAGCAAAGTGATATCTATGAGTGAGGGAAAATTTGTTAATATAGATATCTTTCAGATATGTTCTTATTATTCCATGTATGTCAGGTGATGCCAGTAGCAGCAGGGATAAAGCCCAGGTTCCAACCACACCTGCAGAAGTTTACTTCTTCGTTTTGTGGAAGACCTTTGATAAGCCTGCATGTAAGTGTACACATATCTTAACATGCCTGTTTATATGATAAATGCTTGCATGACAGAATTACTAGTACCATTGATTAAGCAAGTTTTCTGCAAAATTTGGTTTTGCGCTCACTCCCTGTTGATTTGTACTTTGCCTTTTGATTTTGTTCAGTTCCTGTTGTGTGTGTGTGTGTGTGTGTGTGTGTGTGTGTGTGTGTGTGTGTGTGTGTGTGTGTGTGTGTGTGTGTAGCTAATGAATATTATGTTAAACTTAGACATTATGTTAATTATTACATTATGATATGGCATATCTTGAGTTGCATTACATTACATTACATTATTCCAGAATTTGGCCATAATGTACCAAAACCACATCCTGGGCAATGATAAAAAGGTGGCCGACCTAGCTATTCTTGGCCGCGTACTAGAAGACCTAACTTTGCAGGATCTCATACAGTATAATGGGGAGTCTGGTCTGATTGGCAAAGTTATCCATGGTATCAGAATGAGAAAAGTAAGACAACTACTAGTTAAGTGGCTACAATTGAACTTCAAGACTTATGTGTGGAGAAATAAGCCTTTTTACTCTCATGGCAATGACTTCTGTTGGCAAATGGTTCAAGGAACAGTTGTTCAGAATTATTACCAAAAGGTGATTCTGTGTCTATTGGATAGACGTTAAGTGGGGGAAAATATGACTTTTGAGTTTCAAAAAATCTCAACTTTGCAGTGTAACAAGTAATTTTTTAAAAAACTTTTATTTTTCAAAACTCCAGATTCAGTCAGCTTCTTATGACTTGATGAAGCTGTGGGAAGATCGCCTGAAAACTTACGCCTTTCCTGAGTGCAGCACGGCTAGCGACCTCTACAGGGAAATAGGCAGACAAATGCCGGATTACATACAGGTATTAATTCTATCAAGTTGCCATTTGTTAAAATTAGAAATAATTGGATGCAAACTTTTCCTTGATTTAATAACATTTTATGTGTCACTCCTGGAGATGAAAAATTATTTTGATACAAAATTTCAAATATGAAGTTCAGTGATGTTAATTAAGTGTTGATTTGTAATTGATCCTAATGACTTACTCCTAATTTCAGCAAAGAAAGAATAACATGATGAATAACCTTTCAATAAATTTATCAAATCACAAAGCGCAATTGGAACAGTTTGATGAGAAACATTATATTCTAGTATACTCACTGACTATTTATTTTTCAGGAATGTTTTAATCTGATGAACATGTAAGACCTAACATTATGCATGATTTAATTAATAACCTTGTGCAGTTTATGGAAGTTATAGACCATATAACATGTACCACCATCTGAAAGTCACGTACAGTGGCCATTGTCAACCAAATCAGAAAAGCAAAATTAAGAAAGTCACTTTTATGTTCATTTATATGTAAAGTTTTAGCAGTTTGTATCAAGTGGCACTTTGATTTTCAGGGTGTTGCTAGTATGTGGTCACATGGTGTAAAGTCTATAGCATTTAATAGGGTGGGAAGGGTCCCTGTAGATCCCTAAAGCACCACTTGACTATTTGAATTTAAAAATGGGTATTTGGTTTTTAGCATGTAATGCTTGGTTGGATTTATATTAGTGTTGCTTGGTTGATTATACTTACAGCATGTACAGTGTATTTGTATTTTTCTTGTTTTCATTTTCACTAATAAGAACAAAATTTGGAGTGCACATGTTTGTAATGTCGATGCATGTGGGAAAATTTACTGTATAATATTTTTTTCAGAAACGTTATTATTATTATTTCCTGTATGTCAGGTAATGCCAGTAGCTGCAGGGATAAAGCCCAGGTTCACCTTTAAAAGGAACACCTTTATTATCCCCTAACATTGCATGTTATTTGTACATGTAGTAAAAACTGGTTAATATGTGATATTTTCTTAATCTTCCCATTCACATTTTCCTTGTCTAGGGTTTGCCAACACAGTGGTTCAAAAACTGTAGATCTATTATTTATTAAATCACCAGTTGGATAACAAATTTAAAATAATTAACACCTAAGAAATTATATATTAGAAAAATACATAATTATGAAGTGCTACATTCACAATTATCCTATTAGGTACTAGCCTAGAGTTGGCATTCCCATGGCTGTGCATGAAATATCTTCAATTTTTTGTGCATGTAATCACTTCCTTGAATATATATATATATATATATATATATATATATATATATATATATATATATATATATATATATATATATATATATATATATATATATAGACACACACACACACTGTTAAACCAGTGAAAGATTCCATCATCTGTGCCAGGCAGAGATTCATAGAGCGCATTCAGAACGGCAGACAAACAGATCCGCGGATCAAGTATGGCCCTCCCACTTGAATATGCTGGTTGCGTAATCCCTGTGGGGAATCTATCCAGCATCTAATCTGGAATTAAATGGCAAGCTTTTTAGTGGGTTGTTATGTCTACTTAAAGAGGACAGCAAGAGTCTATTCTCGTCGATCGTCTCATCGATCGATCGCCAGAGGGTGCTGCGGTAGCACATTGGCCTATCACATGACTATCAAAATGGCAGACAACAAAATGATTGCTAGTGAAATAAGAACATTTTCTCAACAATTTCAATTTTAGTTGTTAATAATTAAAAGATATTCGGTTGTAGGGACATTATTTTCTAGTTGTGCTTAACTCTGACCATGGCTGGCTGAGTTAAAAATTACCGCGTGATTGACAGACAGAAGCACGTGTTGCTTCCGCAGCGCCCTCTGGCGATCGATCGATGAGACGATCAATGAGAATAGTTACACGATCGACGAGATTAGACGATCGATGAGAATAGTTACACAATCGACGAAAACAGTTTGACGATTGACGAGATTAGTTACACGATCGACGAAAATAGTGACAGCATTGGTTTTAATACACCATAGATGAGAAATGTTTGACAATTGAATTGACGAAAGTACATGT